TGACAGGTATGATTTTCTTACTGGACAGAGGAGGAGAGCCTGAATCAGTGGCTTTGATTTCTATATTATACTCTGAACATCTCTCTCGGTCTAAAGGGCCGTTGGTAACCAGTGCGTAATTATTAGAAAACGAAGGTTTCAGAGTGAATGGAGACGTTTTGGGAAGTTGTAACGTGACTTTGCCATTATCACCGGAATCGAGGTCACGAACGCTGAGCAAAGCCACCACAGTGCCGCTGCGAGAGTCTTCGGGCACAGAAGTTGATTTTGAAGTGAGTACAATTTCTGGTGCGTTATCATTTACGTCTAATACATCCACCTGGACAGTGCAGCGACCCTCCATTTTAGGGAAGCCTTTATCTGTTGCACTAATATCTATACGATATGATGTCTGCGTTTCGTGGTCTAATTGCTGTTTAAGATATATATCCCCGCTTACAGTATCAATATAAAACAACGAGACCACTGATGGCGGTGTGTGTACACCAAGCGAGTACTCAATGTCTCCATTCGGACCCTCATCTATGTCTGTTGCTTTTGTTGTAATAACAAAAGAACCATTTGCAATGTTTTCTTCAACAGCGATTTTATAAAAACTGTTTTCGAATAATGGCACATTGTCATTGAAGTCAAGCACAGTTATAATTATTTTGGAAGTTCCGGTCTTGACAGGATTACCTCCGTCTATGGCAGTAAGAAATAAATTGTGAGTGGATTTTTTCTCGCGATCTAAAGAGTTATTCAATACTAATTCGGGTATTTTCCCTCCATTTTCAATTTCTTTAACTTTTAGACTGAAGCACTCATCTTTACTTAGTGTGTATGTTTTTAATCCATTGCTCCCTACGTCGGGATCCACTGCCATCTCTAAGGGAAAACGAACACCTACAGCTGTGGATTCGGCTATTTCAATTATGTGATCACTTTTGAGAAAACTAGGGACATTGTCATTTACGTCTCTAATTTCCACTTCGATCCGGTGTAACTGTAGCGGATTTTCTATTACAACCTGCAGAGGTAACACACAGCTGGCGCTTTGTCCACACAATGCCTCTCTGTCTATTCTGTCATTCACTAAAAGCTCACCCTTCCCGGCATCCACGCTGAAATACTGCTCACCAGCCTCAGAGGCGACACGCAGATTACGGTTAAAAATATCTGACAGTCCTAAACCCAAATCTTTGGCAAGATTTCCAACCAAGGAGCCTCTTTCCAGCTCTTCTGGGATACTGTAGCGAGTCTGTCCGTTTACTGTACTCCACAAGAGAAAGAACACATAATGCCACCAAAGCGCCAGCCATCTCCAGTCTCTGTATCCCATTCTCTTTGTCATCCTCGATCCGCTAGAATTCAGCGTTATTCCCCATGGAAACATCATTTAGAAAAAAAACAGACTGGTGAGAAATCCATAAACGAGGCACTCGTGGAACGGAAATAAATAGTCGTTCATACATCATGAGAAGTGTAATAATGGTATATTATTTAATCCCAGTGTTTAAACGCATCCTTTTCTCATCCCGCGCTAGAAGCACTGGCTATAGTGAGCAGGATGGATGGGGGAGGGAGTAGATCTCTTTGTACAGCCTCCCATGCTATTGGCTCACAACACAGACCCCGCATCCAATACGAAAGGGAAAGACATATTATAGACCAAGCACAAAGACTATAATACAGAACACACACACGGGTGCTCACAGATGAAAAATTCAACAATACTGAACAGTTAACTCAAAAATACGCACCTTTCTTCTTATTTTAACGCGTTCTTACAATAATTAATCTTATTTAATTTATATTACAGTTTCTACAATAACATTAACTTTAAATTGGCAAGTTGTTTAAAAATTAAACCTAAGAAATAACATTAAATGGAATATTCACTACAGTAAAATGTTAGATTAAATTGAAACATGTACCACTGCTGTATTCTGAAAACAAACGTACATCTTTTTGCACTGTTTTTGAAGCTGTTCAATTGCTTGTCACTGTCCTATATCGAACATCCAAACAGTCAAATCGCGCTGGGTATTCAACAACTCTAATA